CCACACTTCAAGAAAGATGTGGACAGATTGGAAAGAGGTCCAACAGAGAGCAGCAAAAGTGATTAGAAGCCTAGGAAGCATGACTCATGAGGAAAAGCTGAAGGAGTTAGGGTTATTTAGTCTGAAGAAGAGAAGACTCAGGAAGGGATTTGATAACAGTCTTCAAATACCTGGAGGGTGATTACAGAGAGGATGTGGAGATGGGCATTTCTCTGTGGTCATAGGGGACAGGACTAGGAGCAATGACCTCAAGATACAGCAGAGGAAGTTTAGGTTGGAAATTAGGAAGAACTTTCTGACTGTAAGAGTTGTCAAGCATTGGAACAGGCTACTTAGAGAAGACGTGGAATCTCCACCCCTGGAAATTTTCAAGAGCAGATTGGACAAACAGGGATGGTTTAATCCAGGATGATTCTGCCTTGAGCAAGGGGCTGGATTAGATGGCTTTGTGAGGTCCCTTCCAGGCCTATTTTCCTATGATCCTAATGTGAAGAGAAATCCTGGCCCTGTTTTATGTTTACTGTTGATTTGACTGCAACCAGAATTGTACCCTGTATGCACAGGTTTGGGCATTCTGGTTGTCATGTGCACAAGAGAGTATGACTGTTCCCTTGTACATTTGTGCAGTAATAAGATGCTTAAAACCCAAGGGTATATAGGTGAAATCTGAGACACATGATCCTGGGATTTACATTTTACTGCCTGGAACAAGAGACTTATTTTAATGGCCTTTGAAGCCCAGACTTGTAATCCCAGCTCTGGGAAAGTAAAATAAATGAGAGTTTGGTTGAGTGAAGACTTCAGGATTGAAAATCCTGTGAAGGCATGCCACATAGAGTATGATCAGAACAACATGTATTAATAATTAAAGTCCCTAAGATCTTTGCCAAGGTCACATACCATTTATTCAGGAATATGATTATACGTTGGCCAGCATGAAGTCTGACATTATCTTCGCCTTAATTACATACCTATGTAATTAATTGAAAACATAAACAATGACCATTGTTCTTTCCAAAGCATTGTCTTTTATAACAATATGTTTATGCTCTACCGTGGCATCCCATTCCACCAAATTACTGTATCTTCAGTGTCCCGTAACTTTCCAATTATTCCATTGTTAACTCTACTGTTAAGAGAACATATTACTTTTATAGCATATGATAATCAACAGGATTTTTTTCATAGTGGGTAGAAAATAGAGTAATGGATTCTTTTTTGTTTGTTTCTACATTTTTAATAAACATTATATAATCATTTTTATTCCTGTTCTACATAGAGGAAGTGAATAAGAAATATTTTCTTTCTTTCTTCTTTTCTCACAGGCACTTTATATGTTCTATGCTTTGGCTATAGTATGTGATGACTTCTTTGTTCCATCATTAGAAAAAATTTGTGAGGTATGTGAAATTTGTTTCTTTTCTAAAATTTACTCATTTTGTAGGTTAAGATGGATATTATGTATCATCCAATAGCTGTTTGGACTTCTTCAGAATTCGGTCATCTCAGTCCATTTCTGAGTAGCTAGAGACCACATCACAACACCTACTGACTGGCATTGTTGATAAGATAAGACAAGACAAGCAAGCAAAAGATTGAATGGGTATGGCCACTGAATGCTTCTCTCAAAGGTCTGAAACATGGTGGTGGGATGGTTTAGGGCAGTGTTTCTCAACCTGTGGGTCACAACCCAAAAGTGGGTCACAGGCATATATGAAAGGGTCGTGAACAAACATTAAAAATAAATCAACACAGTTTAAAAATGGATTCTCCTTTAAAGGAGAAAAACATGGGAAACGGTGGCTTTTCCCATGCAGGCTGGTGGAGTTCCAGCCTGTGAGGGGCTGCTCAGGGTCCCCTGTGACCCACACACCCACTCCCTGCCCCACACACTGGGGATCTGGGGACTGGGGGTCAGGGGGCACTGGGTCAGGACTAGCCATTGATGTTTACAAATGTATCCTGGTACAAAAAAAGGTTGAGAACCACTGGTTTAAGGAATGCTATAAGCCTAATTGCATTTATTACTCTGCTTTGGTTCTAACACCCATTAAAAAAAAGAAAAGATGGAAAGATCTGCATTGATTGTGGGATGTATGTGAGTTTTGCTACTGACATGACTATTTGGCTAAAAGAAGGGGTGTAATTGGGAAGTCTTTCTGGCCTTAAGAACCTGATAGTATGGAAGAGCACTAAGCTAGAACTTTAACCATGAGAGCCCCTTTTTGAACATGTTCAGTATTAGATCTGATTGGGAATTTTTCAACAGAATGTACTTGCATTGGAACGTGCCTATTTTGTCTAGTTTTGGGAGGTTGTGTGTTTTTGTTTTTGGGGGTGGTTTCTGAGTTCACACCATTTTGTCAAAGCTTTAGTTGGTTAGTTGTTTCAGGTCTTGGGGGAATGAGGTAGATTTCTGGCCAGAAGCAGAGGGAAGGAAAAAGCGAAAGAATAACTAATAGCCTGATGGTCAAGACTTTCCCTAGGATTAGAGAGAGCTAGTTTGAGTCCCTGCTCTGCTTCAGTCTGGGTATGCTAGATGCCAAGTGTGTACTGTGTGACCATGTACAGTATGAGGTGTTCTACAGCCCTCCTCTGTTTTTGTTTAAAATTTTCATCCTGGTATGGAATATGAAAGTTGTAATACCTCAGAAGTCAGTGCAGAATATCTGCAGGGGTAAATTACTGGAAAGGAAAAAAATAGACATAAGACTAATGAAGTCGGTTATTTTACGTACAGGGCCCACATGAGCTAGATCTGTGACATTTTAATTAGAGAAAATAATGCATTATTGTCATTATTAGAAAACATAATGTAGCACTATAATTGCTCACAGCACTTTAGAAATGTATTTATTAGTTAATGGAGTTTCCAGGACAGGGAAAAAAATTAAATTTTGATCTAAGTTTTTATTTTGGCAAGAGCTTTCCAACCAGCTGTGGAGCTGATTGTAATATAAAAATCTCTTTATTCTTTTTTTGCTTTGACAACATTTCATATCAGAAAACTTCTGGCTAGCTCTCCTAGCTAATAAGGCATCTTTTCCTCCACCCCTCTGGATAGTTAGACATAATTTCAGCTGAGTAGAGGTAACTCTTTCTGATGTTATCAGCAAAATAATAGATGAAAGAATAGATTAAAGCAGATAACACTAGTGAAGTATTCAGTAACAGTCTTTTTTCAGTTTTCAGATGTGCTGTCCTCAGTGTGGTCTTGCTATACGGCATGGGTGAATCTAGGGTTTTGAAAAAGGTGGTGCAGGTGGTGAGATGCATCGTCACATATATACAATGCATACTTTTATCAGGTTAAACAGAAACTAGAAGCTTTACTAATAAGCTAGTGGCCTATGGCTATATTATTCAGTTTAATATTGTAGCAAAAGCTAATATAAATCTGCTATATCATATATTATGTATAAAAAACACAACACGCTAGGCAAAAAATAATTAAAACATGTTGTTCCACTACTTCTGTAGACATTAGAATTTTTCAGATTCATAAAACAAAATCTAGCTTGCTTGAGCATCTTGACAATGCCTCGGATGCTTCACTGAGTTAACGTTTTTAGCTAGAGTTAAAAGCAGACTCCAGGGTTGTGAAATGGGAGGTACATTATCAGGACAGCTAAGAGCAGAATTGCAGAAGAAAAAATAGCTTAATTAGGGGAACATTAAGACCATTACAAATAGAGAGGGTCCTTAATACCTGTGGAATTAAAAGTGTAGTAGGAATCCAGTGGAGTATAATGAGCCATCAAGTCAACTGACTCCCTTGCTACTGCCTGACTAGAAATGCTGCTGCCACTGTCAGGCACTTGGTTTAAAATGTTGGGTGGAGAAGATATCAAAGTGGAGTGCAAGTGCACAAATGTATCCCCCTGGATCCATCTCTGCTATATGGTATAAAAAGTATGCCATGAATATTGCTTTTGATTCTTCCTTAAATCTACTCCCTTTTGCCAGAAGAGTAAGCAGCTAGCAAGAATCTAGAGTGGTTGGCACATTCATGTTTTAACTGTCTCACCCATATTAATGATGATTGATCACCTTAGAGCCAGAGGTTAGCTTTCTAGACATTCTTCATGAAGTACAAACTGCCAGGTCAGGAAGGAGCCAAATACCCATGAGGCATTCTGTCTTCCTGAACTGCTCCTTTTGCCACTGCTTATTTTTCCATCCTTGCAAATGGCATGAAATGGTGAGGCTATGGACCCCTGTAAAGAAAAACAAAATTTCATCCATGAGATCTTAATAGTTCATGAGAAATATCTTCAGCTGGTCTAAACAGACATTGCCCACCCATGAAGCAGTCTGTGTTCATACCATCTGAGGAAATGGTTTGAAAGTTGTAAGGCAACTACTTTTAAATTAGCACTCAGGAAACAGTATAATGAAAATAAATCTGTCTACAGGACACAGTCCTCTCTCTGAAACTGACCTGATTTCACACATGATTCTCACTCTAGAAAGTGAAATCAGAACTGGGTCTACTTTTTACAGGACCAATCCACATAAGTTATATTTTCCTCTCACTATTTTATTGACAGATTTTAGAAGCTTACTGGGTATGTCTAAATGTGCTCCCAACTGCACAGTTGTTACTGCAGTCATTTAGTAAGGTTGTGCGAAGCTTCAGTCACTGATTTGATTTGGTGGAGATTTGGCCCAATTCAGTGGCTGAATCTCTGAATCCAAATCAAATCAGAGAACCCCGAATGTAGTCGGAACCCTCCGAATTATTCGGAAAGATTCGGCAATTCAGACATAGACACAGCTTTAAATGTTTTTTCTACATACCTCTAGGTACCAGGTGGTTCATGAATGCTGCACTGCTGGGGTTCATGGAGTGTCCCACAGAAGTGTGGGGGGCTCCCCAGCACACTCAACAGCAGACCCAGAAGTGGACCAGAAGCACTTCTGATCCACTTCTGGGCATGCTGGAGAGCGCACTGGGAGGCCCCCCACACCCCCCTGGCTTGGCAGTTGGTGCCTCCTGGGTCTGGGGGTGCACCCGGGGTCCCCCTGTGGCCGATCTCCGAGCCAAGGGGGTGTGGGGGGGGGAGGCCCTGGTGCATTCCCTGGCAGACCTGGAAGTACTTCCGGTCCACTTCCAGGTTCAACACCGAGCATGCGGGGGGCGCCCCCTGTGCTCCTGTGGAGCTCTCTATCTGCCCCAGCATCACAGCATTCACAAGCCATGCCTGGTACCTCAAGGTATGTAGAGAAAACATTTAAAGCTGTGTCTATGGCTGAATTGCTGATTCTCTGAATCAGCATCGAATCTTCAGATTTGGATTCAGCCGAATCGAGTCCAGGACAGTGATCCAAATCAATGAATCAAATCACTGTCCCCGATTGGACCTGAATCCAAATTGAATAGGGTCTGTTTTGCACACCCCTATCATTTAATACTTGCTTTGCCAACCACTCTGAATTCTTGTTAGCGGTTTACTCTTCTGCCAAAAGTGTTGTTTTAGCAAGTACTAAATAACTGCACAGGAACTGCCATTACTGCAAAGTCCTAGTGGTGTATAGGTTGTTTCCAACTCTACTGCACAGTAACAATGAGCTACTGTGCAGTAGCTTATTGCTACTGCACAGTAGCATTGGCATCATGGTTTCCTGAACTGTTGTTTTAGAGTTCCAAATATGACATCTTGCTTGAGTCTGCCAAATTCTAGAATCCACATCTTGGTAAATGGAAATATTCCATTAGTAATATTGGTTATATTCTTCAACTGATGCCCCACTGGGTTATGGGATGACTCTTTATTTGCCCAAAGTATGTTTGTTACAATTATATGTTGGTTTTAGCTACAACATAGCAGCAGCTCATTTTCTAAGAGTTAGTTATGTGACCAAAAAGCAAGAAGATTCTGCCTCTTTAACTATAGAACTATGATGTATAAAAATGACTAGTAAGACTGAATTAATAAACACTTTTGTTCCAGAAACTACATTTGAGTGAAGATGTTGCTGGAGCCACTTTCATGGCTGCAGGAAGCTCAACCCCAGAATTGTTTGCCTCTGTTATTGGTAAGAACCTATAACTAGTATGCCTAATATGTCTGTGTCTTTCACTGGCCACTAAAAGGTTGGGAACAGATTATGCAGTGGGACTTAATAAGTGACACAGTTCATCACTATGTTTACAGCAAGCGATAATAGGTTTCATATGGAAAATTTTCAAGAGCAGCTTGGACAGACACTTGGCTGGGATGGTTTAGTCAGGGACAATCCTGCTTTGAGGAGGAGGCTTAACTACATGAGCTTGTGAAGTCCCTTCCAGCCTTACTTTCCTATGATTATGTATTTATATTCTACTGGTTTTACATTGTGCATTCCAGTACTCAAAATCTGCCCTCCAGCAAGGGTAGTGGTTTCACTGTACCCTTGTTCAGGGTTTAAGAAGTTATAGCTGATTCCTCTCAATGTAGATGGACAATGAAAGTGAAGATTTTAATGCTGTACATTATCTACCGTGGACAAATTTCCCTTCCAGTTACAGCTGTGTAGCTGCATGGACTTCAAAGACAGTAGTTTGGTCTACTGCAAGGACAATATACTGGTGCATAAATAAGGCTAATATAAGCCATAACATCTGTCTATCCTATAGCGTCTGATCTAAGGATAGTGGTTTCCTTGGTTTTTTGCACTATTTTAAGTAGTTGCATGACCTCATTTTCATGATGTCAGGGTCCTTTTACTTTCTAGTCCTTGCAGCATCTTTTGGGGATAGTTAAATGCAATGACAAATGATCCTGGTTCAGAGAAATGTAGGAAGCATAGTTAAAAACTATTATAGGTCCTTCCGGTACTCTTTAAGGACCTGAGAATCAAAAGGAATCATTCCAAAAGTAGAAACAAGAGTATATGACTAAGAATGAGTATATAGAAATAGCATAAGGGATAAAATCAGAGTCTAGGAGGCAAAATTAGTTATAACTAGAACAGGCCAAAAAAAGAAAAGAAGAAAAGATTTTGTAAATGCATTAGAACAAGGGTGTCAAACATATGGCCCGTGGGCCAGATCACTGGACTGAACCCCTGCACCATCTCTGACCTTGTGCCCTACACATGGCACAAGCAAACAGTCTGGGGAGCATGCTGTACACAGTGCTCTACTGAACTAGTCCTGCATGCTGGTCCAGATTGGGCTGTGCCAGTGCAGTGCAGTCTAGCTCCATGCAGCACACGCAGCTGGCCAGTTTCCATGCATGTGGCACACTGAGTCATCGTAGGGGGCTGGATCCAGTGCTGCATGCAGCACAGAGGGTCTGGGGCACAGACTGCATGCAGCATCCTGGACTGACCCCTGTGATACCTGTACAGTGCCAGATCCAGCCTGTGTGCTGCAGACGTAGCACATGCTGTGCCAGCCCCACATGCCATGTGCCCAGTGACCCCAGGACTAGTGCCTGATGTGTGCAGGTTGAACTAAGCACTGCAGGCACTGCACAGGAGGTTTGTCCCAGTCTGGCCTATAGACTGAACCAGTAACCCTTATCAGGCCAGCAGGGCCAAATGATTTTGACACCCCTGCATTAGAAGTAAGAGGAAAGTACAGGAAAGTATACATCTATAACTTAACAGGAAAGCAGACCAAGTAACAGGTGATGCAGAGTACCTCAGCATGCATACTTTCTTCACTTCAGCCTTCACAAAAAAGGTTAGCTGTTAAACAGATCATTTTAGCAAGGACAGAGCTACTTGTCAGAAAATCAAATAAACAGGTTAAAGAATATGTAGGTAATATAAATGTGTTCAATTCATCAGGGCCTGAGGAAATCCATATGAGGTGCTTAAGGGACTAACCACCTTCAAAGGCTGTTTGCTGATGTAATCTCTAAGCCATTAGCAATTATCTTTGAGAATCTGTGGAGGTCCCAGAAGCGGGAAGGAGGGCAAACATAGTACTTAACTTAAAAGGTGAGGGTGGGGGGAGGACCCAAAAAATTACAGATCAGTCAGGCTAAATTCTTTTCCCAAAAATATTCTGGGAGAAATTAATGGCGTATTAATTTATATGTACCGATGGGATAAGGTGAAGAAAAACAGCTCGTATGGATTTATCAAGAACAAATTGTGTTAAACAACTCTAATTTCCTTCCTTGATTGGCCTTGTCTGTTAAGTCCCTGGGCCAAAAGACCAGGTGCACTCTTACATCTGAAGCAAAGCTCAAACCTATAACCTGCCTAACTCTATAAAGAAACTGTATGCCCTCTAACTAACAAAGGGGATATGGGGGAAAATGTAGGTATAATTTAGCTTGACTTCAGTGAGGTTTTTGACACTATTCTACATGACATTCTTATAAACAAACATGGAAAATATATGATCTAGATGAAGTCATCTTCTAAATGAAATGATCTAGATGGAGAGAAAAATACTCTCACAGTCATCACTATAAAACTGGGAGGGTGTTTAAAGAAAGGGGCCTTACAGGGCTCAGCGCTATTCAATACTTTCCCTAAAAGTTTGGTTAATGGAATAGAGGTTACATGCAGAAAACTTGCCAAGGCCACTGGGCTCAAAGGGGTTGAAAGCACTTTGGAGGACGGGATTAGAATTTAAAGTGATTTTGTTAAATTGGAAAAATGGTTTTAAATCAACATGACAGATTTCAATAGAGACAACTGTAAAGTGTGACCCTTGAACATTTGAATCAAATACAGGAAAATGGGAATAACTGGCTAGGCAGCAGTACTGAAGAAAAAGATCTTGGCGTTAATAGGCTGGATGGAAAGTTCTTGTGTTTTCTTATAACATTTGAAATCAGCTGTATTTCACAGTTTTCATGTGACACGATATGTTTTTCCATCTGTTCTAATGAAGTATTACTCACCACTGCCAGCAGAACTGTGAAAGACAGCATTTCCTCTTGAAGTAGCTGACAAGAGGAAGCAGTTCTCTGCTTCCAGTGAAAAAAAAATATATGAAATTGTTCAAGCTAAGCATGGAACTGTTACCTGCCTTGAAACTGCAGAAGGTGCAATTGAAATGTATCCATTCATTAAGAGTCTTGTTTTGATTATACTTCAATTAATAATTTATTCTTCACTGTTTCAAATAAATAGTCATAACCTATAACTATAGAGTAGGATTTAATAATTCATTCAGTTGCTTTTTCTACAGGTGTATTTATCACTCATGGTGATGTAGGAGTTGGGACAATTGTCGGTTCTGCAGTTTTCAACATCCTCTGCATTATTGGTGTCTGTGGGATATTCGCAGGACACGTGAGTAGTTTACTTTGCATTTGGAAATGGCTAATGTTGCCAGAGGTCCAGCTGCAGCCTTAGCTTCCCCAAATCGCTGATAACTGATACCCAGAGAAAGGCAATTACTTCCCACGTTCCAGTCCCATGTTCTATTGCCAATTCCAGTGTGCATACTGGGAGGATATTTCCTTCCTAACCTCTCTACTGATCAGTTTGTGCTCTGAAGTAGAAGTCTTTTCAAGAATTGGTTTCTCAATATTGGGGAGGGGATTTTATTTCTGGATATATCTGATTTAAAACAAAATTAAGTTGGAATCACTGATTAGCAGAACAGCATCAAGTTATACTTTACAACTGAAACCATGACAAATTAAAAAAAAATTAGTAATAAATAGGTTTAATTAGTGATGAGCTTTATAGGATTTTTGGCAATGGTGGTAATTATAGATGCATGTTAAGGTCCAATCTTGCTAACATTTAAGTATCTAATTTTAGCTGAACAAGTATTGCAGTTGACTTCAGAAGGACTACTCATATGAATATAACTGAAAATCAAACACTTACTTTACCTTTAAAATATTGGAATAGCAATTATTTTGTGGCCTAACTTTGTGCTTGTTTTTCAGGTGGTTCTTCTCACCTGGTGGGCTGTGTTCAGGGATTCTGTCTACTACACGCTGTCTGTGATCATACTTATTGCTGTGAGTTATCCTTTTAATCATGAATATGTTTAATTACAGAGGGCCAGACTGTGAGCCTTGTCTTTACATTGGTAAGTGGTTATTTACGTAAGCTGTCCCAGGAGTGGGGCAGAAGTGAGGAGTTATCAGGGTGAGTAAGGGTTTTCCAGTCTGGCACAAATAAAAAACCTCATAGAGCCCCAGGCAAAAGGCTGGCATAGCCTATAGCCCATAAAGTTTTGCAAGACAGTCCATTGATACACCTTGCAGACTGCACTTCTCTGTCTGTGGCAGCATTCCACCCTAATCCAAGCAATTTTTCTTGGTGGATGGATTTCTAATCTGCATCTCCATGTTGGGGATGAAGAATGACTGTTTGCTCCTGCACATGGGTTTGTCCTGCACACTCAGAGCAACCAGCTAAAGGGGCGGCATTTTTTGAAAACTTCAATTCTAGAGTAGCTTATGGAGAAACTCCATGGCTTTGGTTCTTGGAAATTGAAGACGGTCCGTACTGTTATCAGAATGCCAGCCATTTCCAAAGGACGTGTTCTTACTCTCTGTCAATCATATATACCGAATGCATGTGCATGTCTCTCTCTCATACATACGTTTACCCTATTTAGCTGAATAATATTAATAGCAGCCTCTGACAAAGATAATGACATGACTGAGTAAGATCCATAAGGTATGGGACTGTAACAAACATTGCAAGAGGGCTGCAGACAGACATGGCTTTGGGACACCTTAAAGTGCTGTCCTTAAATGGAAGTGAGGCTTTCACTGCTGCTCTTCTTTGTGCAGCTGCAGGGAATTGGGGTGCGGAGCCCAGCTGCCTATGCACATGGAAGTCACACTCTGAAGATCGTGACTCAGGACTATGTGTTGGTTGACCCATTCTCTGGCTTCAGAGAGGGCAGTTTGCTCCATTATTGCAACAGGGGCACTGGCCACATAGAGGGGAAGGGGGACAGGGATGGATATTTCCTCAGGTGTAGCACCCTTCCTGGACCCCTGGAGCCCAACTTAGGGCTCTACACTGCCTACCTGATTACCTGCTGGCTTTGATACCCACAGTTTGCTTTCTATGGCACCAGCCACACTTCCCACCTGGAAGGGAAGGATGGGGGGAGAGGAGATGGGACTTCCCCCCAGGAGCTGAATCCTGGGAACCTCCAGGTTTCCCCACTGTTACCCTATCCCAGTGGTTCTCAACCTTTTCAGACCCCTCTGGAAAAATTCAGAATTTATTGGCACCCCATTTAAAAAATAAATATATCGTTTGCATAGTATAAATGTTACATTATTAAGTAACATGACATTAATTAACTAAATGCATTACTAATATTATAATATTATATACAATGTATATAAGTATAGCAGTCATATGTAATATAATATAAAATGTATATAAGTATAGCAATCACCCCTTCAAACTGTTCCCTCCTGCTGTATCTGGGCATGTGCACTTTTGCTCCCAGTGTGGCATCTGGACATGGGTCCAGGTCAGTATTCAGGACTGGGAACCCATGGGCCAATATCTGGCCTTATTTCCCCCTAAGACAATCTCCCCCTAAACTCCAGCTGAGGGGCTTGGAGTTTCTTCCTCTGAACTCCAGCCCAGAGACACCCAGTCAGCAGGGCAAGGTGCTGGACTGCACACACATAGCACATGAGGGGCACCGAGGGGCAGCAAGGGACAACAGAGCACAAATGGAGCTCAGGGAGGGGGGAGGAATGAGGGAATCTCTTCCCAGTCCTCAGCCTGTGCCTGGGGGAGCAAGTACAACCTCTACTGCCATAGCTGTTCCTCTGGGGACTCTCACTTAAGGGTCCTGAGCCACCTGACCCCACTGTGGTGGGAGCATGTGAGAAGCAGGGGGACAAGCTGGGCTGAAAAGCCTGCATGAAGCAATGTGTGCTGCTCAGGGCAGCCAGCAGCCAGGGGTACCTGGGGAGGAGCAAGTGGGTCACATACCTTCTTCCAGCCTCCGGCAGCTCCTGTGCTGCCTGCTCTAAGCAGCGCGCTCTGCTGTGGGCAGGTGACTGAATGTGCATACATGAAACTGCTTTTCAGCCTACCTCCTTCCCCTCTTTTTTGGCCTGCTCCAGAGGACTGGGTGGGGGTCATGGGGTCAGGTGGCTCTGGACCCCAGCCTGCAAGTCCCTGGATGAGCAACTGTGACACTAGAGGCTGCACTTGCTCTCTCAGGTACAGGCTGAGGGCTGGGAGAGGGTCTCCCTCCCCCCTCGTGTCTCCTGTCTCCCTAAGGGTTGAGAATCACTGCCATATCCCCTTTAAATCTCTCCACCTGCCCCTCCCCTGGTTTCCCCTTTTACCAGCTACCTCCTCTTCCTGCAGTCCAGTGTGATATTGGGCTGGGTAGCCAGTCTCCCTCAGCAGCTGTTGAATTGAGCAAGAGTAAAAGTGGGGGTGCACCTGAGGTACTGTGCCCCTTCTAGATCTGGCCCTGGCAGGAGGTGAGGATGGGAAGAGCGGGGAAGAGAAAGCTCCAGTAGTGCCAGGCTGCAGATGACAAAATACCATCAGGCCCTATGGGCATGTTTTGCCGGCTGCGTGGCTGACTTCTTACAATTGGATTGGAGAACTGGTTGACTTATTTGTTCATTTTCTTTTTTCTTCTAGTTCATATATGATGAGAAAATAGTATGGTAAGTTAAGTATTTTTCAGTGGTGCAATCTCTGTGAGACTGTTCAGAAACTGGACTTGCAATTTAGCGAGACTTAATGTCTATCCCATGAGTGAGAACTGTATTTTGCTCCTAGGAAATACTGCCTGTTATCTTTGATTAGGCTCTTTTGGATGATGAATAGTTACAACTAAAGAAAAAGGAATAACCAGAAAACATTAACAGCCACATCAGACTGCATCTGCCAGTATGGTGTGTGGGGTTCAAGGAACCCTTTCCTGCCTTACTCGCCCGCAGAGAGGGAAGCTGAAATCCTGTTGCACTGCTCTTTGCAATCATACTGTGGAAGAGTGCTTCTTAACACAAAGTCGTTGTGGTATGTGGTATGTGGCTGTGCATCTCCTAAAAGAAATAATAAGACACCCCCCCCAAACTGAATGATGTGGGTTTGGAGGAGGCCTTCTGCCAGCATAGCTTCTCCTACTGTTTCTATTGCGGAACATGACAGACTGCAACTCTGGCTTCACTAGCTACAGCATGGCTCCAAAATGAAAATTTTCATAATATTTATATTTGTGTTTATTGAAACCCCAAGGTCTTTTGCCTCTCCTGTTCTGCTGATATTCCTTCTAGCATTAACAATGGGAAGTCTGTGCACAAAAAACCCTCTTCATACAGGTTACCTATACTACATCCCTACTGAAAATATTGTAAGGTGATAGCAGCTTAAATAGCCCTATTAATTCTTTTTCTTTTCTCTCTTTGAGGTGGGAAAGCCTTGTACTCATCATTATGTATTCATTCTATATACTTATCATGAAGTAAGTGATCTTCCCTTCTCTGCTCTTCTAATTGTAATTTGACTATTATCATGCTTTGATCTCCAGCTGAGGATAACGCAGAATCTCATTGCCTTGTCTTATCTCTCCCACTTTTGTACTAGATCAGTTTACTCTCTGAATATGTACTGCAAGCATCAGCTGGTCTTTGGATGTTTTCTTGTTGTAGTTTAATAAGCTGCAGTAAGTCTCAGAGGTAGCTAAGAGAAGTGTCATAAACCCATTTTTTTCTAGTTGTGTGGGAGTAAAGTAGCCTGCAGTTATAGGTAAATAGAAAATGATTATATTTTGGGAGTACTTTTGGGGGAGACTTTAATACTGCCTTAGTTTTACTCCAAGAGGGTGACTGTGGGCATCTATACACGTACTCCAGGGTGGAGTGGGTGGCACTTTAATTAGAGCAGCTCTGAGAGCCACTCTAATTAAAGCACCTGCAGCATCATGCATATTCAGTTTCCTGTGCTTCAAAATGGCAGTGGAAGCACTTTAACTAAAGGTCACTCGATGAGCTTCAGTTAAAGCGCCCCCGCCGCCATTTTGAAATGCAGGGACATTGAATATACATGGCGCTGAGGCTGCTGGAGTGCATTCTGTAGCAGACTCAGTTAATCAAGTCTGCTCTAACACATGCTATTTAGCACACATTGCCCTGGGTGTCCCTGTGAATTGGTAACTCCGTTGTTTTAGGTCCCAATCCTGGCACCGCTGTCAGTTTTACAAGCACCCATGTTTTGTCCGGGTGACTGACCACAAGAAATAAGTTGCCACCTGAGCAAGGATCTTCCACACCAGTCCTGCCACGCAGAGTCACTGTTATCCTTCACTCTCACCCTCTGTGAAAACTCTTGAGGCTTCCCTCCCACAGGAAGCTGATTAGGTTTCCTATTTGTAACTCTCTGCCTCCCCCCCTGAAAACCATCCGTTTTATGTTCCCAACCTGCCCCAGCTCCTGCCTCCCAAAGCCAGGGTCAACCAGAGCTTAATGATAGTATTCTTAGGCCACGTAGAAGAGTCAACATAGCAGGTACTCTTCCTCTTGCAGGACTTAATTAGCTGTCTTCCTAGTGGTCTAGGTCCCTGGCAGCCCGTGGGTTGAAATTATTTCTACCTTCCCTCTCCCCCTCCCCCTCCCCCCCAGTGAATCATGTTTAGGTGTGTTGTATGTTGGTACATAGCACTAGCCAGTCTTAACCGAAACCTGACACAGCAAGATGCATCTGCATGGAAATTGCACAAAGGCAATATACAGCCTTATTTTCCACTTCTTTCAATTTTCAGGAATAAATTGCTTAGCAATTTTCACAGCAGCAGGATCTCTACTGCACGGGTCTAGCAAAACAGAGACAAAACACCTCTATAGTGTGAAATAAATGACCTTACAGAAGGTGGTATTTAATTCAGAAAGTTCTTATAAAGGTTCAGAGAAAAGAGGGTGCTTTTTCTTAAGGAAGGAAAAGAGGTGTGGTTCAGGACTGTTGTGCACATCAGAAAAATAGTCACCGTATAAAGGTCCTGTTATGGTGGGTAGAAAAAAAAGAGATGACTGCGAAACCTTTTTTACCATGAAGAGGTATATTCATTGCGTGTCTAACCAACCTTATGGCATTCATTTAAATGTAATTGCTTGTACTTTTACAGTGAATTTCAGAAACCTTTTAAATTGAATGTCCCATGTAAGTGCAGAAAAAAGTTTTAGGGCATGGGAGAATCCCTCTTATAAGTTAAAGCTTCTCAGTAAATGGAGGATACATCTTCCTTTCAGATATGGGTGGTAAAAGTCTGTCTATTTGAGGTAGGTGCAACCCTTATTCTCGTGGTTAGTTGCTAATATGACTTTCAGCTGAGGCAAAATTTAACCTTGCAATATTGAATGTGATACTCTGTCTAGTCTTTCCTAAACTAATGTTAGTTGTCACAAAACATCCATACAGCCTGGGTTCATATAAGAAAAAGATCCAACAATCTAGCATTCTCAGACTTCCACTTTACACTTTCAGGTACAATGTGAAATTGCAAAACTTTTTTACCTTCAAAAGAAAGAATGTTGGAAATGGCAACACCGTCAACAATGAGCTGGAAGATGGTAATGCATATTATGGCATTAGCTGTGATGACCCATCCATACCATTGCTATTGAAAGGTAAGGCTAAGCAGACAGGAGTTGGACAAAGCATTGACATACAGTATTTTTTTTAATGGTGATCAAAGCACTTGTAATGTTCAACTGTGGAGGATGACATTGTTATTGGGCTAACTTGACAAATTCAGTCCAGCTAAGCCTTTGGGAATTATAGTTCTTTCCAGGGAGGTTGGAACCATGCTACTTCATATCCCTGCAGTGTTGCTATCTTCAGTCTTCTTGATCAGGAATAAGTGATTGAATTACACACCCATAAAATAAATACTTTTTCTTTGCAGGAGGAATCTCATTTTCTCACTGAGATGTTTAAATTGTAGGCAGTAGGTGAAACACGAATCATAGTGGGATAGCTACAGCAGCAGGTGGGGCAAAAGGAATCAAAATAACATGAGGCTAAGTTTGCATACAAGGAAAATGGTGTCTCCTCCTAAACTAGCATTCAGTCGTGTGTTCAAAATGGAAACAACATTTCTTGCAGGCAGTTTCGGCTCTGGGGGGGAAGATGGCATCCTGCTGCCAATGCTGCCTGAGAGTTTGTCTCTGCTCTGCTAACTTCCCTTCATAGCTGCTTCTTATCGCTGCCTCTCTCCACAGAACCAAATGCATACTGCCTTTGAAGCTCAAACTGTCTCACTTCTTGAGGTCTTTCTGACTAATCACGTCTTATTATTTCACTCTATACAAGCAATTTTAAGTTTCTTTTGTATGTTTTGAATTGAAGTCAGCATTTAAGATGGACATCTGGTCATATAAGACTTAGGGCTTTGTTTTCCAGGCACATTTGAGATCCATCTAATTCTCACAGTATAAATAGCCTTTCTCTCCCTTTGTCTTCCTTATGTATTTAGATTAGAAGTAGACAACACTTTCTCTTACTGTATGTGAGGGAAGAGGGCACAGCATAATAACAGGTTCTGATCTCTTGTGGAGTCTTTAGGTGCTACAGTAGTATAAAGAATCAAATAATTAGTTCACTTTTGTAAAATAAAAAGGAAAAGAAGAAGGAGGCTTGAGGCATTATGTAAGGAGGGTAATAAAATTCTAGACACATCAATTTTTGCCAACTCCAACTATTCCCCATAAAAGACTTCATCCCCATTTACTTTTCTCTTTCCCTTGAACTCTGAGGCTCACAGCCCTGAACTTTCTCAGCCTCATTATCCCCTTCTTGCCAGATATCTGAGACTATACTGGAGAAACAATGAATGCTCTACAATGGAGAGCATCAGGTAGCAAGAACCTACTCCCGAAGATCATCACATGGCTGCTTACTGCACCTTGGGTCAGAGCATGTTATGACTTTGTCTTACTTCGCTGTTAACTTGTTCTTGGCTGTTTTCCACATAGCTCAGCTCACCTTCCTCAGGTGCTTCCAGTAGTCCTCAGAAACAGAACATCTACCAACAACTGCGAGGCAGCAACCCAACTGGCCTTCAGCCTTTGGGGTCTTGCCTCCAATTGGCGGCTCTCAAACTTTAGAGTCTACTGCTACACCTCCCTTGAGCTCAGCTGGACTTGGATCCAACCTTGATCTCCTCCTATATATAAGAATGAAGTCTGATTATTTCTGACAAAGAACAACTGTTCTGTGTTAGGAACTTCCTTCATCCTGATTATTAGGATTCTGCTACTGTAGATGCAGATAAAAGGGGGTTCACAAATTGTACAAATACCTTTTTGATTCTCCTAAGTTATTACTTTCAAGATCTTCCACTGCTTCCACTGGTGAAATATAAAAGCTTCCATTACTAGATTTTCATATAGAGAGTGCTTTTCACCCTGGGAAAAATTCAATTTCGAAGGTGAATTCACACACAGAAGTGAAGGCAAAAGATTTGTACTCTTGTTAAAATTATCCTAGTTTAAAAGTATGAGCACTGTAGCTTAGTGCCCTTGACTTTTATTATATTGACCCACACTTCCCTTAGATAGCATGGGTTTGATTCCTGCCTATTAACAGAAAGTCTTGATAAAAGTGTGTTGTGTTTCTGAACTGAATGCAGGTTAGATGCCCAATGGCCTGATCCAAAGTCTATTGAAGTCTTTGAGCTTTGAGCTAGCCCCTTAGTGAGGAGCATAAAGTTTGCCAAATGTATTAAAAGGAAATGCTGCACCTGGAAGATATTTGCCCTGGAAAATGCACAAAGGAAAAACTGACAATGCTTTTCACTTTCTCTAATTTCTAGAAACCACTTATGCCATTTTTGAAATAGGGCCCATTTATGGGGCAAGGCATGTGTGTTCAGTAACAGATGGAGTCAGATTGAGGAGCTCTTAGGAGAGCACAGAAGAAATGTGCTGTGTCAGCCTTAAGGCTGGGGTGAGTCATGCACCTGTGATCTATACACTTCACATCAAAGCTGAGGCTTTTGCCCTCAATTCAAACCTGAGCATGTTTTGCCACAAACTCATTAGTGCTCCTAGAATTAGGTCCACAGCGACTGTAGTGCTTCCGTGTTGTTTTCTCTGTCGTGTTGTGAGATCAAGGAGTGCTTTGGAGACTCTACTGGAGGAACTCACTTGAGAGCTGCTAATCTAGCGAGACTCTGTTAAATCAATGATATCACAGCTTTATGCTTTACCAGGGTTTGTTGTCAAACATTTTTTCTTCTTTATTAAAACAAATGTTAGGCTCTTGTGACTGAGTCCTCTTCAAATGAAAGTGAGACCAGATACAGGATTTTCCTAGGTATCCTGGCTCCACCTTTGCAATTAAAGCAATCTCCGCCTAATCACTTTGTAGAGAGACATTACAAATGCTCCTTCACTCCTTTCTTTGTATCATCACCTTCAATATTGTGCTAGTTTAATCTGTGAAGATAAAAGGAGTGGGAGGATAATTGCTGATTTACCTTTACCAAAATTATTCCTGTGTCCATCCTTTATCAGTGATTAAATTACATGTCAAAGCTACATAACCTATCTACTGATTAGGTCATTTTTTGTGAAATCTAAGACTTCTTTTTGGTGCCTCTGTGCGCCCAAAGAAAGTATTTTGGTGAATACTGTGCACCCAAAGAAAGTCTTATATTAGTAAAACACAAAGCACTGTTATATGGCGTTCTACTTCCATAGCTACACAGAGGCTTGTAGTGTATTGGTGATTTACCTCTTATTGAGTTTCTCTTTCTGAGTGACAATCAGATGATGTTTTCCTCAAAACCCAAAATAAAAGTGTTAGAAGATACCATAGGCTTTGACAGCCAATGTTGTTTGCATGTATGTACTGATACCGACAACAACTTGAAAACACAACAGTGTTTCACCATATATGGTTTTAGTTTCTTTAATTATGTAGAATACTATGTATTTATGATAGATCCATTCTGATTCCTTTGGTTAAGATGAATGTTTTCCCAGGTTTCCTTTGCTTTCTGGCTGAAACCATGCACTAATAATTATCTTTCACTTTTGCCTCCTAAATTCTCTTCCTCTTCTTAATGTAAGTAACTTGCCGGCCATAAGAAAAAAACCCAAGCAATGCAAAGCAATAACACAAGCAATAAAGAATGCTGGTTTTTCCCCTTGCACTGGGGCTCATTTTTATTTAATTTCAACCAAATGCATTATTTACTGCCCTGTTTTCTAACACACATTGGTATGTCTCCTGTCTGCTGAGCCTTGCTGTGCTTGCTATGTGTAGTTTGTAGCATTTATGGAAATACTGGCATGTTGTTAAGCCCTTGATTATATTTGTATTGATCCCTAGTATAATTTTACCTCTTTGGCTTTTGTAGAACAGTGGCACAAAACTATTGCCTTGGTACAATTTAGAGTTCCTTTACATGCAGCAAAGGATCAATTGTAATTAGTTGTCCAGAAGGAATTAGATTAAATTAGGTAGTTTGAAGCCCTATAAGCAATCGAGACATTGAATATAGTCTTTAAACTTAGTGAAGATTTTTCGGACAAGTAACACACCAACAGGGGCTCTAGAATTAGCAATAAGCTTTTTATAGCTACTAAGCACCTTGAACAACTGAACAGCAGCATTACCATTTTTAGGGAACTGCCTGTGCTTTCCCAGTACCAGTTGATCTCATGAAAAACTTTCTATAAACCATGATGAATGATAATGGGCTATGAACTAGATGGCCCAACATGAGTGATCATCCTGTTCTCACTCATCTGTGCTCTGGGGCTGCTGCCTCAAGAGAGTGAAAGATCTCTTCACCACATGGCCTGAATCAGGCAGACCCAATGAATCAGTGATTTTCAGGTACACAAGACTTAAGAAACATTACAGAATAGATGCTAGCAAATTCAAGAGTTCAAGTGAATGTGATCCCCTGAATGAACCCAATTAGGGCAACTCTAGGTAAAGGGAAGGATGTTGAAAAAATTTTGCAACTAACCCTTGGCATTGTGATCAATAGTGAAGGGAGTACAGCAGTACGGCAAAAACACTGTAGTGATGGTGGATGAGATCATCTGTTCCAGCCCACCAAAATTCCGTTTCCCTGAAGCGGGCTTACGAATAATGATAACAAATAAATTTGGACCAAGAACCAGAATGCGAATGGCAAGCAGACTCATTATTAACGAGGTAAGTTCACTGAGAAAATAGCAAATAAGTAGTCTGAGTTGGATCAGCCAAAAATCCACTTTTCCAGGCTGAGTTCCTATCCAAGAATGATTTTATGGTTGGAATCAGAGTTTGGCTCTTCAACTCAGCATCTAGGGAAGAAGAAATCTGTGTCTGTTTGGCAGCTATGCATGTCAGTGGACTGAATGTGATGATGAGACCCTCTCGGAGGATAGACAGTTGTAGTGGGATTCCCTGGAAAGGAATTGGGAATAAAGATTAGAAAGATCCTCTCACTAAGAACAATGTTTTTCCCCTTTAGCATAGAATTGCCTTTGAGCACTGATAAGAATGGTGAAACTGAGGAGGGAGTAACAAGGAATAAGTCAACCATGGAACTTCTAAGAGCTCTTTTAGTGCCTGGACAGCATTCTCCTAATCACGTCAAGTATTGCCTAATGTCTTTAAACTTCACAATCTAAAACTGTTGATAACACAAAGGAGAAAACAGAGCAGAATCTTTTCACAAGATGAGCATGTCTCAGGCAGGCTCAGATTAGCCCTCTTTGAGCCCATTGTCACCACCATTTATTGTCTTTCTTGTGATAACCCTGTGGCAAAAGTCCTCAAAATGGCCAGGAGGGTTACATTCTTAAAAGAAAAACAATGTGAAATTTCTCTGTTAAAGTTGATGGAAGAACTCACATTGACGTAATGCAGCCAAGATTCCCCTCTTCATTTCTGAGTTACATATGAGTATAAGAAAAGGTGTCCTTTCGGAGGGGAGAGAGGTTAATTACTTAATATAGCAATCCCAAGTATAGGGAAAATAGGCCTTTTCAAGTTGTAAAAACACAGAGGACAGTATAGCACTACTGACTACTGTGAACACCCCAAGGAAGCATAAGGGAAATGTACTGTGTTTGTTACAAAGTCCAACTAACAATAATACACTGAAATGGTTTTAGGAAATCATCTCCAAAGTACAGCGTCGGGCACAAGAGAAGATCAGATAAATTGCTAGTAGCAGTCTGTCCTCTAAAACAACTGCTTTCAAACCAAATAGCCAATCACTTAGAAATTATTTTTAGTAGAGCTATGTCAAGAAAGGTGTTTGCAAGCTGTTCGATGTTGGCAAAAGAAAACCCAAGCTTCGACGTAGATTGGATCTGTTTTCCTATATCCAAACTTCCAAATTGCATGGATTCGGCAATATGTGTGGATTTGAGTTCTCTAAGTTTTTAATACCTCTTTCAGTTATATAGGTCTTAATTGTTTCATATGCTGGCAGAACTTTAGACAATCAGGGCATAACTAAGTATATTTTGGTTAATTTTTGCAACTGTCCTTTAAAAGACATGAGTTACTAATAGTAATCATTCCACCTAAGGCAGCTAATTCTTTTTCTGAAATTAGAAAATTAGCTTAGTATCTCACATTCCACTGTTTGATAATCCTGGGTAAAAACTGATGCTTAATGGTGACAACAGTAGCTACCATAGTGCAATGAATGTAGCAAACATTTCTCAGACAGGTATCCCTACATATCCCTGCAGTAGCCATACACAGTCATCATTATGGTTTGTTTAATCAGGCAAGGAAATAGTAGAGTTAATCCTGTTTGTGAAATATCATAGGATCCTTGAATTGTTCTTGCGGGTAGAGAATCAGAGCTGGATAAAAAGTCCCATGGTTAATGTATAATCTGAAGCATATCTTCTCTTATAGTGCAGTGTCCTTCTCCAAGCTCAGCTGTGCAGATCATAGTGCCCAGGTATAGGCACAGTTGGTGGTCTGAGGGTTGAAATCTCATGAGACCTAGACAAAAACTAGATGAGATATGATTCTGGATGAGCTATACTCATTAAATTGTACTCAGAATTTATTTGAGAATGTGATATCCAAAGCCTCCTTTTAGGAGGGGGGAAAGTGGTATGGTTTCAAAGAACAGAGTTGACAAGATGAGCAAAATTTTACAGCTTTTGGTGTGTATCTCTATGCAGCGTCAGCGACTGATTCAGTCTGCCAATGGCACAAGCAAACCGCTTCAGAACGGGAAGCACGAGAACATTGAAAATGGGAACATCCATGTGGAAAACCAGGAAGAGAATGAGCATGATAACCTGTCTCCCTTTTCAATACCAGGTAGGCCTGCCCTTCAGGACAAAAGAGAATGATGAAGACTGAGCAAAAGACAATTAAAATGCTGGGATTTAGGGTGTCAAAATAGACAAGATTCATGATTCAAAATTATGCCTGGGTGGAAGGATAGACACAGCAAGAAGTCATACTATTGTAAAATAGATGCCAGTTAGGCTCAGGTTAATGTGTAGCAACAGGATTGCACAGTGCTGTTAGAAATGAGAGTTAAACACTTGACACTGGTGTAGAGTTTTCCAGGTTCCTACTAGATACAGAACAGTGGTTTCTGGAGAAAGAGTGTATCAAAAACATAGATTCAACATAGACCAAGCTAATCAGCAACGCCTCAATAATAACTTTGGGGTAAACTGGCCTCCTGGTGAAAACTAGGCTGGTGTAGACAGGTATATTAATTACAAGAAAGAAAGTCTTCCTAAAGAAAAAGGAAAAAAGATGGAGACTCAGACGAATGTTATGAAATACTGGGCTGCATGCATGCATATATGTCTGGAGCTTATAGGTCAAGTGTACATAGTAATACCCACCTTCTGGGAGTACTTTAATATTGAATGATGAAAAGGGCTATATACAGGCACATTCTTATCATGATGATTTGCATAGTACTTTACATATTAACTCATACCAAAGTACCTTCCAAATTTGGAAGCAGTACTTTCTACCACTGAAATGTAGACACTTCCAGAGATTCGCTTACCAGCAGCCTAATGGCAAATGGCAACATTACAATGAAAAATAAACCCTGCTTCCAATGAAAGTGAGGGGGAACTTTATAAGCAGAGTGAAAGGGAAAAGAACATCCTTTGATTTCTGAGGGGCCCGTTGGTAAATTTATAGGGATCATAGCAGAAATGCTGTTGATTGAAAAATCCCTGGAGCCCACTGAAAAAGACCCTGGCTACATCTACACGTGCACTTCACTGCAGAGTAGACTAATTAGCTCTGCAGTACAAGTGTCATCATCTGCTGGTATTAGGGCGCAGTAAACTGATTAACTCTGCTGTAAGATAGGACTGTCCCCAAGTAATTTACTGTGCTGAAACGCACGTGTAGATGGTGACTGCGGGCATAAATTACACCCAGTCAGCCTAGCCACTTGGGGGCCTGCTCTGCCCCAGCTCAAATTGCTGCTGTCCTGGGCACACAGGTAGACACTGTGCCCAGGAGCAGTTTACTCTGGCACAAACTGCTCTGGAGTTTATTGCGTCGCATTAATTTCACATGTAGATATACCCACTGGGTGCATCCAGACATTCAGGCACGTGCAGCTTATGGTGCCGGAAACCTCTTTGCAGCATCACAAACCTCACACCTGGAACATTAAAACATGCTCCATGCTACAAATTTGATCCAGGAAATCCTGGTAGCAAAAACAATGGGGAAAAATGTGGTGAGCACATTCATCTGTAGTGTACACACAGAGTACTGGCCATCTAGAGCAACACTCTGGGTGCAAGCTAGGCTCCATGCTGCTAGATCTGCACCCCTGCTGCACCAAGACACCAGGTAATGCTGCTAGTGCCAGCACTGATACCGGCCCCAGTCTCTCCTACCCCTACCCAGGACAATTAGCTGCTCACCGAAGCATGCATGCAGGGACGCGCAATGGGGCACAAAGCAGAAGTACACATTTGTGCCTCCACTGCTTGATTGATGAAAATCACATATTTTCCCACTTAAAGTTATATGTAGTATTTTTTAATTCGTTACACAATCAGTAAATATCTTCACTCACCTCACAGTAAAACATAGCCAACCATTATCCTGTGAAGACAGACCTATTAAATGGATTAAATGGATTTCGGCAACCTCTGCATGCATTGAATGATTTTTTTTTTGAAGGGGGGCAGGGGGAAGGAATTGTGTCTTTGTTTTTGTTTTTTTACTGTTTGCACTGTTTAGATGTAGGCACCTGGTCATGCCAATGTGGGCAATCAGTCATCACTGTAAAACTTTACACTTAAAGAAATCATTAGAACTACATTTGTAAATAAGACTTTCTTTAGAAAAAAACTTTTGTTATCAGCTTCGTTTGGAGCAACATAGTTCTACATTTCATTTTACCCTCTTGAATAGTTCAAAAACTGGGCAAATGCAATGCAGAGAGCAAACTGGTAGAACTTTTACTTTTTCTAGATTTGTGCAGAACTGAAGAGACTTCTTCATAAATGAAACCCTATGTGTAGATCAGAGTAGGGCTCCCTGGATATGTCCAGATGAGCATGCAGATGCAGGGGCCTGTGTTTGCCACTACTTTGTGCCCCAGGGCATGCCCCGTATGCATGCTCTGGCACACACCAAATTGTTTTAGGTGGGGTACAGAAGGCTGGGGCCAGCACCTGTGCTAGCCCCAGCAGCCTTACCTGGGGGCCTGGGGACCTCATGGGGCAGCAGTGGCGCTGATCTGGTGCACTGCATGCACCACACTGCTTTTTTCTGATGTGGCTTTTTTTGACACCAGGATCTCCCCATGTCAAATTTTGGTGCCGCGCTGCAAATTGGCAATAAACTCCAGAGTTTACTGCTTCACATTAATTGCATTTGTAGATGTACCCCTATACGAACTGACAGACCAACAGGATAGTTGGATGTTTAAAATTCTTCTAATTATTTTTAGCTTTTGTTGTTCTGGCTGGAGCCATTTATCTGTTGGATTCTCATTGCTCAGCTCCTGTGCTCTGAGGGAGAATTTTTAATTTTTTTTCAAAAGCACACTTGTTAATTGCATTGAGAGACATGTTAAGAAACTACACTATGCTTTATTGTTGTTTAAGTGCCATGGTACAATCAGTAACCTAAAGAATACCTGACATTCGAAACTGGCTTTAGGGAGAAAGGTAATTTTCAGACAGTTTCCCAACATTCCCTCTGTCTGTCTCTTTTGATATATTTTCAGACTAGGAATAAGGCATATATGTTTATCTAAAGATCAAAAGGTCATGAATTTTTTCTGTACTATAAAGAACTCTATGAAGAATAGGCACTGAAAACACATTCCAAATCAAGTGATTGCAATGTGCTAAGTAGAGAATTCACTTCTGATTTTTTTAGAGCTTCAGTTAAAATGGTCAAGGATTTGTCTAAGCAACCAGAGTGCCATGGCACCATAAGGTGCCTTGAGATGCTTTCGAGGGTGTTGTGGAGTGCCACACAATGTTACACATAAGTAGTGTGCAAACATCATTCACAGAATAAACCCAGAAATTTCAAATAGGAATGCTTAGTGTCAAAACCATTTTGACCTGTTGTGGCCTTTCTGAGTTCTTTGCAATAAAAGAATTTCTTTATTATTTTTCTGTAGTAAAATAATCAAATGAAAACGAAGAGCTGAGAATTTGCAAAGAGGGCCTTGAGTCCAAGGGAGTCTAGTAAGGTTGAGAACCACTGGTTTAAACATTTTTTTTCTGCTGTTCTCTAGCGCTTTTCTTTTTGTGGGTTTGATTTACTTCAGATTTACCTGTCCTAGTTACTTCTGTCAGGACAAGTTTCACCTGAAACAAGAATAGATGTAAGTGAAGTTTAAAGTACTAGTTCTTTTTCTGTGTGATACTGATTTTTTATGTACTGTGTCTATGTCCTGCTCATTGCTCTGTTCATGATCCTTCTGCAGTGAGACTCAGTTATAGAACTGAGGCTCTGGAGCATGTGATCGGAAACAGAGACAATTACATAAAGGAAGTTAAGATGGTATCAAAATACAATGTCCAGTTTGGACTGTGAAATGGATTTCAAACCCAAATTTCAGAGAGATGTTAATGTTCAGGATTTGCTTCAGGCCCATCTTGAAATGGAAAGTAATAAAACCAGCTACCATGGTGTAGCAGGGGCTGGAACACAACCCCTGTTATACCTTTGTGGGACCGGCAGCACCGGTGGGAAACTGGTGCTCTGGAGAAGAGGTCCACGGAGAAACTGGAGGGGTATGCAAGCACCAGGGACTGGAGAACATGTGTCCCAGGGAGCCAGCACTGATTGGCCCAGGAGGAAGCCCAGGCTGTTTAAAGGGAGACACCGAAAGGCGCACGGCATTCAGTATCTCCCAAAACAAAGGTGGTGCAGCTGGACCGAGAGGAGAACCAGCAGAACTGGGGACCCAGCCAGCCAAACCCTTGTGGAACATTGCAACCGGGCAGCCATGAGCAAAAGACAACCCTGGCACGTCCGGCCAGATAAGTGGCAATGGATGGTGGGTTAGTGGTGGGTAGCCCCACAAACTGGAGGGCAGGGGACATACAGGGGGAGTTCCCCAGGGTACAGGCAACCAAGGCAGACTGGAAAGAGGGCAAGAGCAGACCCAGAGATCCAGGGGTAGCCTCAAGGGAAGTAGAGACAGTCCAGACACAGGAGGGATTTGTCTAGGCCGACTAGGAGAATATCAGCAAGGTTTGAACCAGTTGAAGTGAGCCTAGCTGGACCTTTGAACCTGGAAGAGTAGCCAGGGGCTCAGAACTTGACTTTAGTGTATTTGAGAGTCTGGACCACAGACACAGTGGACAAGAGTCTGTTTCTTTTTTTCTGTCTCTGATTTAGTATTCCTGGGCTAGGGAGAGACAGCTGGGGAGAAGGATCCCCTTTGCATCTGAGTTATAGTTACTCGGGTCCTAATCCATGCACTTGGATTCTGTGAAGCAGTTCAGTTTAATAGACCTGAAGCAAGGCTGAGGGAGACCAACTCAGGTGAGACCTGCCAACCCAGGGAAGATCACCAAACATAGAGCCTCATGAGAGAGCAGCTGGAGGCAGCAACAAAGGGGGAGAGAGAGAGGGAGGAAGTAAGGCAGTTGCAGTGTATAACTGAGCAACTAGGCCTGAGGAGGGAGATTTGGCTGGAGGAAACAGACACTGACAAGTTGCAGAGCAAGTCTGGGAGGAATCGAGGTCCAGCGACTCACACTCACTGTCAACAGAGAATAAGGACTCATCACCTGAAAGGAAAGGGGAAGGGTATAGGGAAGGTAGAGCCTTGCAGAAGAGCGGCCCCCTGT